TCTCCAGCACCTGACATTCACAGCTTACTTCGTGCTCACGTGGTAAAGTGGGGAGTAGCTACCTCTCCTTCCTATCGAGAGGCCTAGTGTTGAAACCATGTTCCCCACTCCTCCTCCCCCACACCCCACCAGTAGATGGTCCCTCCAAACACTGGGTCTGTTCTAAATAGACCAAAGCACTCTACACTGTCTTTTACAGCAGCCTAAGGCAACTTTCCACACCCTGCTACGATCCCCTGTACGAAAATCTCCGGGGATATAAAGCCAACCTATTACAAGTACAAATGGGAAGCCAACCTATTTACTTGCTGACTCCAACACACATACCTATGAGTGTCACGGTGTGGAAGGCACAAGTAGCCCTGAAATCCTGCCCTTATCACTCTGCGGTGTTGGTGATGTCCTGTCATCATCATCCTACGTGCTTCACATGTGCCTAAGTGGCTACTGCCTAGGAAATGTAGATTTGACTGGAAAGAAGAGGAATATGGGCAAAAAAGGAGAGAACCAAGGAGACTAATGATGAGCTCTGGAATTCCCCTAAGAAAGCTTTGGAATGATTCTGTAACTGTACAGAGAAAGAAGGTAATGGAATGAAAGACAGGGAGGGAATGAAGGGAGATAGATGAAATAAGGGTCCAAGTGTGTCAGGGAGACAATTTGGGAATGAGGGTTTCTGGAGGAAAAGCAAACTGAAAGGTAAGCCATCTGATCATCTTATGTTAGGATCACTGAGGGATCTGTCTCTGCAGAGAACAAATGCAGGCAAAAACCAGTGAAAACCTGCAAAGGAGAGCTGTTAAGTAGAAGCCATTTCCTTCCTACTCTCTTGAGAGCATTCCTAAACCCTCCAAAATGAAGATCAGCACAAGGACCTTGGGAGTGTCACAGGGATTACTATTCTGACATCTACAGAACTATCTGGAGTGTGTTATTCCCAATGGCCTTAAAAGAAAAGGCTCCAGAGTATGAAAGATCAGTAAGCATAAGAGGCCACTTTGAAATCCACAGAACCACCATACCCTGCCAATCTCTCAACCATAGTATTTACTCAGTGAGTGTTAGGCAGCTATATGAGAAACTGGAAAGGAGGAAGGTAAATTCTCATTCCACTTTTCCAGTGCTTGGATCTGACAGCTATGAGATGGGACTACCCTCAGTGGTGGTCAGGCCAGGTATGCTCTGTCCACCAGAGGCCCCAGCCCTCAAACCACCATGTCTTGTGGTCAGGCCCCAGGACAGCAAAACTCCTCCTTTATGCTTAAACCTGCATTCCAGAAACAACCAGCTGCCGATCCGGAACTGCAGAGAAAGCGCCGAAGGGGACTCCGCTCTCTAGCACGCCGGCTGCTCTAGCCTAGACGGGATTCATCAGTGGTGCCCATAGCTACACAGGAACTTGTTTACTAGGCAATCAGATTCAATATGTTATTTGGTCAAATTTGCTCTCCCTGTAAAGAACAGTCTAAAAAGAAAAAGCAAATCTGTTCAAGTGTCCCAACCCCCTCTGCCTCTCTGTAGCCTTGGAGGGGAAGCCTAGCTGGGGATGGCTGGAGCTTGGACCACGTGCCCAGCTGCAGATTGAGCCCTTGCCCAAAGATGGGCAGCAGCTTGCATACGCCGGCAACGGGCCATTTGCTACAGCATCCAAAGAGAAAACAGACTCAGCACCTCAAGCAAATGAGGCCCAGCACTTCCTGTGTGAGCTTTCCATTTCCTCAGCCAAACAAAAGCCAAAGGGAGTGGGAGAGGGAGGAGGGATAAAGGGAGATGGGTCACAGAAGAGAGTTAACAGGACTGATGGCCAGGATATGGATAAACAGGAGCTGAGTGGACCATATCTAAGGGACCTGTGGTTGCTAGTTGAGGTGACCCAGGGAAGGCCCAAGCTCCAGGGACAGATGGTCTGCCTCCCCACCCCCTAAGAAGAAGGGAGGAACACTCTGTGACCCCTGTGCAGGCTCAGAAGCAGTGGCTTCAGATACTTGGAGAGCTGAGACCTTCCTTGTCAGTTTCTTTCCAAAACTGCAAATTGCCTAGTCGGCATTATAGATTAACAGCCTAAAAAGTTTGAGGCTGTACATGTTAACTGTTTAGGGAACACCGCCAGGAAACGGCTGCCCCTAGCCAGCAGATCAGTCCATTCCTCTGTGTGACCCCAGCTGCCTAGCTGATGGGTCTACCCTGGTTCCTAAGGCCTCAGCCTGGGGTGCATTTTGGGAACCTAGGAGGGTTCACGGGAGGATGCAGAGAACTGTTTGATGCTGTGAGCATAAGCCACACAGTTACAGAGCTAGAGCTGGGAGGGAAGGCGGAGAAAGAGGCACACAGTCCACACAGAGAGGTCAAAAAACTACTGGCCAGAAATCTCTCCTGCAGCCTTCCCTCTGTGGGTCACCCATGAGTGGACAGACTCACATGGGCAGCGCTCAGCTCAGAGAAGTACCATCAGCAGCAGCTTAGGTCTCCACACTCTGTCCTCTAGTATGTGCCCCTTCCAGAGGAGAGCACTGAAGAATGATGAAATGCTGGGCATGGATGCTCGCTCGCTCTCTCTCTCTCTCACACACACACACACACTCTCACACACTCTTACACACACACACGCTCAGCACAGAGCCTGAAGGAGCTGAGTACACTGCACCTGCCAGATACCACAAAACAAACCACAGGGCAGGGGGGCGAGAGAAAGAGAAAGGAAAAGGAGAAGGGGAGAGAGAGAAAGAGACAGAGACAGGAAGAGAGAGAAAGGTAGAGGGAGGGAGAGATGGACAATCAACAGAGTTGACCAGAGATGGGCAGCACCAACGTGCACACACATCAAGAAACTATTGTGCAAACATGAACATACACACATAATGACACTAACACAAAAAAAGAATGGGACACATAGAGAGCAGGAGTCAGCAAACTTTCTGTAAAGGGCTAGACAGTAAACATTTCGGCTTTGCAGACCAGGACGTCTCTATTGTAACTACTCAGCTCTTCGGCTGCACTGCTAAAGCAGCCACAGACGAAGTGTAAACAAATAAGCATGGCTGTGCTCCAGTAGGACTTCATGGACACTGAAATTTGACTTTCCTAATAATTTTCACAAGTCATGAAATACTATTCTTTTTTTTTTTTTAACCGTTTAAAAATGTAAACCAGGGCGCCTGGGTGGCTCAGTCGTTAAGCGTCTGCCTTCGGCTCAGGTCATGATCCCAGGGTCCTGGGATCGAGTCCCACATCAGGCTCCCTGCTCGGCGGGAAGCCTGCTTCTCCTTCTCCCACTCCCCCTGCTTGTGTTCCTGCTCTCGCTGTCTCTCTCTCTGTCAAATAAATAAATAAAATCTTTTAAAATAAATAAATAAATAAAAGTGTAAACCATTCTTAGCTTCTGGGCCACAGTTTGCTGACCCCTGATGCAGACACACACAAACAACAGAGGCAGATAAATAGGGGCAGGCAGGCAGGCACGTGCCAAGCCAGGCAAAGACAGGCAGGCTAGAGGTGACGCAGGCAGGGAGACACAGACGAGGCAGGCAGAGGCAGGTAGCTACAGGAAGACCCACATACACAAAAATGCCCCTTCCAGCACACAGATGCCGACTTACACACAGAGACACAGTCACGGACAAGCGTGGACACAGACAGTCAGGAACATACATACACACTCCCACAGGACACAGTCCCACACACAGAGACATGGACAGGACAAAGCACACATGGACTGACGTGGACCCAGAATCTGAGAGAGACACAGACAGACACACTGAAACAGACCCTCAATGGAGACACATGAATCCCTTAAAGAGACCCCTACACCTAAGGATAAAAAGAGACACAGACACATGTGGACACATACACACGGGCAGACATGGACGGGTACACCAAAAGACCCTCAGAGACACCCCTAGACAGACACACACAGACCCTCACACTCAGACACAGATACCCGGACATACACAGACAACCAGAGCCAAAGAGGTACACACAGAGCTAGAACCTACACACAGATATGGACGTACGAAACAGCCATGCATGTGGGGTGCTTGGGTGGCTCAGTTGGTTGAGCGTCCAACTCCTGGTTTTGGCTCAGGGTCCTGGGACCAAGCTCTGAGTTGGGTTCCCCGCTCAGCAGGGAGTCTGCTTGTCTCCTCTCCCTCTGCCCCTCCCCCCACTCATGCACTCTCTCTCAAATAATTAAATCTAAAAAAAAAAAAGAAAGAAAGAAATAGCCATGCATGGTTATGTAACTATGTAAATATACTATGCTACTGAATCATATACTTAAAAATGGTTAAGATGACAAATTTTATTATATATATATTTTACCACAATTTACAAAAAGAAAGAAAAAAGTCACACAAGCGTACAAAGAGATCTACATAAACACACCCAGGCAGACACACATACTCCCCAGACCAACACACCCCACACCTAAAATGCTCTGACAGACAGCACGCTGACACACAGAGACAGGGAGATGGGAAACGAAGTGACTGGAAGACAGAGGTGTACACATTTGCCCTCCTCACGCTTTACAGGGTATGAGAGGAAGGCCCAAGCAGAATGCTTATGGCGGCACACGAAGCAGCAGCTCACAGCCTGAAGGACATGTGGAGATACACTAAAAGGGAGAGTAAGAGACAAGGCCTCCCCCTCACACGGACACATGCCCAGACAGGCAGCTGCAGAGATGGTCGGCATGAAGAGCATGAAGTAAGAGCAAGAGAGCAAGAGCAAGGACAAAGAACAAAACAGAGCAAGCTACAGAGCAAGAGAGAAGGACAGACTGAGAAGAGGAGGAACAGACTAGACAACAGGGAAAAACAGCCTAAAGCATCAGGGCACAAGGAAGGTGTTCAAGGAAGTGAGAAAGCGAAGTTCAAATGAGGAGGGAAGAGAGGAGCAAGCAGGCAGCGGTCGGGAAGAAACAAAGAGGACCAGGAGGGGAGCTGTGGCAGCACAGGTGGACCAAGACCAACAGTGCCGAAGGAATGAGCAGGCCGACTCACTGTGAGGGCAGGTCCAGGGATGTGGGTGGAGGATTCCAGGTGTCTGGGTAGCCGAGCATCCAGTCCGACCAGACTTTCACACTGGGGAGCAGTTCCTTCAGGTCCGAGACGAAGGAAGACACCTTGATGTCATCTTGGTCATCCTCGTCCTCAGGAGAGGACAACTGAGCTGCAGAGGCAAAGGGTGAGAACTGGGCCTAGGTCTGCTGTGGCCCACGAGGGAGGCCTGGGGCGCTGGGACGGCAGCAAGCTCTTAGGGAAGGGAGACCAAGTCCACAGGAAAGCTGGGCCCAGAAGCGGAGGACAAGTGCCAGCACCTAAGAGGATTCTGAAAAGCAGGACAAAGAGAGAACCAGTGCACTGAGTCTGCCCCTGCAGACAGCTGTTTCTGCCCCACCGGTAGCCTGACTGAAGCCGCCGCTCCAGCGTCTAGCCCTCCCTCTAGCTTTCCTTCAGCACGGCACCGAGATGGCACCAGAGTTCCTGCCAAAACCGCACAACCTGAATCTGACCATGAGGAAATATCAGAGAAACCCAAACTGGGGGACATTCGACCAAATAAGTGGGCTGTATGCTTCAAAAATGTCAAGGCCATGAAAGACAGAGAAAGACTTGAGAAAACCATTCGATGCCAAACTGCAGAAAACTAAAGGGACACGGCATCTAAATTGCAATGTGTGATCCTGGAGTGGGTCTTAGACCAGAAAATGACTTTTTTTAGGACAACTGGTATAAACTCAATAAAGTCTGTAGATTCAACAACAGTACTGTATCAGCGTTGGCTTGCTGATTTTGATAACTGCACTGTCATGTAAGGGAATGTCCATGTTATTCGGAAATATTCAATCAACTATTTGGGGGTAAAGGGCTACCACGTCTACAACTTACAATCAAATAGTTCAGAACAAAAATAATAAGCATGTGTGTGTGTGTATAGAAAGAGAGAGAACTTAAAGCAACTATGGTAAAATGTTAACAAATGGGGAATCCGGGTGAAGGATATGTAAGAGTTCTTTGTATTATTCTTGCAACTTTTCTATAAATTTGAAATTGTTTCAAAATAAAAAATTACCTCAACCCTCCCTCCAAAAAAAGGCAGCTCCAGTCTGGAGGCATTCACAAAATTGAAGTGGCAGGGGGACAACAGAGGGGCCTCAATACTCACCAATACTGATCCAGGAGCTGAGAGAAAGGGGCAACCTTCAGCCCTACCTTACACGGCTCAGCAGTCAGGCTTACAACTCTAAGGACAACCTTAATGCATATGCGGGCACTGATCAACTTAAGGGCTAAAAACAGCCCGTGCTCTGGTTCAGTGAGTCGTCCAAGGTGGCTGGTCCACAGTGGTTACAACACCCACCAGTACCAGACAAAGAGGGACACAGAGATAGAGCAGGGAAACCAAAATATCAATTATGAACAAGAACTGAAACGCTCTTTGCTGGTTTTCTAACCTCGTAGGAACCCACAGCAGCTCACAGATACAGTAAAAATCTTAACTACTAGAGAAAAGGGGGAGGGGATAGTTCCCCCAAGAACAGAGGGCTACAGAGGTAAACAGAATGCAAAAGGAGGTGGGGTAGTTAGGTGGGCATACGGAAGAGGGGTTATTGGGAAGAGCAAGAATATCAAATAGAGGGAAGAGATGCTGAGAAGGCAGGGTGGCATTCTGAGCTTGTCTGCACAGGGTCCAGGCAGGGGAAAGGCCATCAGTCAGGGGGTCCCTCATCTGCTTACCTTTGGCAGACTCCTTAAGTAAGTAGGTGCAGCGCTGCACCAGGAGAGAAAACATGGCCAAGCCCAGTGCTGCGGCTTGCTCCTGGATCACAGAGCGACACTCTTCCGAGAAGCAGTCTGAGGAGAGGCAAATGAAACTCCATCAGTGCCCTGGGGGGTCAAGGGCTACTGTTCTCTACCTTTAGGTAAGGCCCTAAACCTCTGCTACAGAGACCAAGATACAAACATCTAGGTGCACATCGGTGGTCATGTCACTGAGCTCCCTTTCCTCATCTGAGACTGGGGCTAAGTAGTAATATTTCCTCTCTCTTAAGCATCGCTACAAGGCTAAATGAAATAATGCACATGAAGCATTTACCACAATGGCTGTATATGGGTAAGGACTTGATAACATTATTACAGGGATCCCCTGTGTAAATTCTGCATCACTTCCCCAGGACCAGGTACCCCAAGATGGACAGTTTGGGCCAGAGCTACAGGTTCTCTGTATTTAGTTGGCTACTAATAATGTGAAGCTATAGTAACAAGAAGTCATATTTAATTAACTCAGTCTCTCTAACATACAGCTAGCAGGAGTACAAATATCAATTAAGATCACAAAAATACAAATTTAAGTTATCTTCTTGAGTCACTAACCTTTGGTTCCATCCTTACCTTCCGTCACTCCTCCACTTACAAATAACCTATTTTCACTGAATGAGTTAATTTTACATAGGAAAATGGGCACATAATAAGCACTTAACCATGGTACTTTATATTTTCACAGATTCTTTCTCCTAGGGCTAAAAAATAAATCTCTGGCTCCCAATCCCCCTCACTTTCTCAGCCTGGCCAACTTCCTTCTGGCTGCAGGTCAGCGACAGGAGCCACCTTGGTGGTGGCCAGAGCTATTCTTTGGCAGAAGCTACAACATACACTCTCAACACGCTGTCTGTACCTACTCCTTGTCAGCGGCCCGCCCTGATAGCCACTTAATCCAGACTTGAGAGGAATGGTGACAAACAGAAGGCAGCAGTCCAACTGCAGCCTCAGAGGAGGAGACAGACACCCAATACGCACAGGAGATGGAATCAAGTGCCCGGTCACACGCTCTGGCATCAACTAACCTGCTCACTCCCTCTGTAATACAGGAGAACGCTCCGAATCTCCCAAGTGTTAAAAGGATAATTAGCCACATGTTTGATATCTGTGCCTGCCTGCATGTTAACCTCAATAGTCAGAGGGAAGCCCTCTTGCGTCTCTCCTCACTGACACTAGTCTTGTCAATGGGGCCTAACTGAAGTCTTTACTCCAGGAGATGCTACACAACCACACAGTTACTCCTAACCGCCTTGGCCACAGGAGCAAACATGACTGGAGTATATAGAGCCAGCCCCAAACCACTTTAGGGAGCCCTGGGAGTGAGAAGGAACAGGCTGCTGGTCAGAAGGTCCCAACATATGAATAGCATCAGTGTAGCAAAGTACTCGTCTGTTGTGGCTTTCCTGCCATCCTTCCAGATGCCGACTGGTCCCAAATGTCACCCTCTAACTTTCCAACTCAACTGCGGAAGGCAGTAAGGAAGTGGTAACAATCCATGTGATTAGAATAGGTCACCACTCTCATTCCTCTTCTGGTAAGGCTCTAAACCTCTGCTACAGAGACCAAGATACAAGCATCGAAGAACCAAGACGGGAAAGGGTAGAGAGCAGGGAAGCGGAAGATGTGTATGCCATCCTAAGAAAAATGGCAACTTCTCCCCTCCACCCCTTACTTTGGGCAGCATCACTATCTGTACTGCCCCAGCTCAGCCTAGGCCCTTGCCAAACACTGCCAGCAGCCTGCCTCTAAGTAGAAACAAGGCCAGCCCAGAATGGGGGAGTAAGTCCAGAACAGAGGAAGCTAGAATAGGATAAGGGGAGGCCACATCCTGGTAGTTGACATTAGTGACCCCTTATCAACGGGGCATCTTAGGCATAAGTTATTACCTGCACACAGAGGGCCCCGAAAAGGCACAGAAGGAGGTGTCTTAGCTCAAAGAGACTGGCATTTTGAGAAGCCCAAGACTACAATAAGATACTCATTAACCTGGATAAGGATAAGATGGGGCAAAAGGAGATTACTTTCACCAAGGCCATTTCTATTTTTATGACAAATGGTAATTTCAGGCTAGGCTATTCCTCAGAGTGCAAAGTTGTGACTAGGGCTCAAGAGGGAGAATGAACTGCTTAAAAACAATGACACTTGTGGCCTCTGGGGAGTCCAGGTTGGCTCCTTTTCTTTTCTTTTCTTTTTAAGATTTTATTTGCGAGCCTGGGTGGCTCAGTCAGTTTAGGGCCTTCGGCTCAGGTCATGAGCCCCGTGTCGGGCTCCCTGCTCAGTGTGGAGTCTGCTTGGGTCTCTCTCTCCCTCTGCCCCTCCCAGACCTCCCTCCCTCCCCTCCCTCAAATAATAAAATCTTAATTTTTAAAAAAGATTTTATTTATTTATTTGACAGAGAGAGAGAGAGCACAAGCAGGGGGAGCTTCAGAGGGTGAGGGAGAAGCAGCCTCCCTGCTGAGCAAGGAGCCCGACATGGGGCTCGATCCCACGACCCTGAGATCATGACCTGATGTGGGTAGAGTCAGATGCTTAACCAATTGCACTAGCCAAGGCGCCCCCAGGTTGGCTCCTTTTTTAAGCCTCCTGCAATAAGGTCTGGGGACCAGGCAGGGTACCAATAACTGGAGCCTCTTTGCTGTAAGTGTGGAAAGGCTTGACTACCTCTCAGAGCAGCAGCTGAAAAGGCAGCTTCATGAGCGCTGTTCTTAGCCATGGTTATGTCACCTCCAACCTTCACCTCTTCCTGCCTCTCCATAAAGGGCCTGACAGTACTTCCCTGCAATGGTCTGGGGGAGGCACAAACCACTGAGCTATTTTGCTCTGATCAAGCAGGTGGTGATATCACAGCTATATGGGGGTCAGAATGCCTGGGTCTCAGTCAGTCTTCTGACCACATCATAGAGAGTACTTTCTGGAAGGCCTGCCCTCCTCCATGGTTCAGTGGTACCACAAGCACATACTGAACATCTATAATGTGCTTCACCCTGTGCTGGGTATTATGGAGAGCACAGCTACAAATAAAACAGTCCCTGCAACCACAGGATCTTACAATTGGGTGAAAGAAACTGCTATTTACCTAAGTAACCATGGCAACTCAGACCCAGTGCCTCCAGTGAGAACTACATTAAGTGTTATGGCATCTTCGGAGATACTCTCCACCTCACTTAGGCTTCTGTAGGCTAGAAGCCGTAAGATGCCAGTCCTTGAGAAGTGTTCATTCTCATTTAAGTTGAGTAGGAAAACAGCATCCAGGTTCCCAGAGTCCACCCACTTTGGGGCTAGAGCTAGGAAACTGGCCCTAGTCTGACAAATGCCCATATATATCCCTGGAGTTGGGCTGGGTCAGACCAACAAATGATGTGGGGCGGGGAAGGAAAAAGCATTGTTTGCCTTGGTATTTGCCTGGGTTCCTCTGGCTTTGTGTCAGGTAGCAGGAGCCTGACATGAACTGAGGAACTCATTAACACTGTGAAACAGCCTTTCCCCTTCTTTCCAAAAGCAGGCTTGCTCAAGGGTTTAGGGGGATGGTTTTGGCTAAGCAAGTCAGACGGAAATATTTCTTACCAAGAAAGTCACCTGAGGTCTGAACTTGATTCTGCCCTTTCCCACATGGTCTCAGATGGGCAGGTGACCAGAGCCCCCACTATTCCTATGCCCAAATACCTGCTCAGGCAGAAATATTCTTCTCACTCCTATGTAACAGGGAGACTTTCTCATTTTTCTGAGAACATATTCATGGAAAACATAAACCAACTGTCGTCAAAGTTGTATGAAATCAGGAAATGGAGCGGCCAGGAGAAGGCTGCCATGTGGCCGGATGTTATGTATTTCTAATTAGTGCTATACATCTTTCAACAGCAAGTGTCCTTCTGCTGGGAAACACAACACACTGCCCTTGTTATTGTAACTGTCAGAGAAGTGCTTAAACAGATAATCTCCAGGAAAAGTGATAAACACGTCCCCTCTCCCACCAGCGTGTGCGCGACGGTGCTGCCAAAGCACAGCCGTGCTTGATGGCTCCAGGATGGCAAAGCATCCTCCTGCAGGAAATGGGAATGAGG